TTCTTCTTCTTCTTCTAAAGAATCTTTCTCTGGTATAGGAGAATTAGGATTGTAGCAGATCGAGAAGAGCATGGAGTAAGGCAGTGCTACGGAGGATCAAGAACTAGAAGGGTAAGCGTTTGGCCAATTTGCTAAGGAGAAGCAACGGTATTCATGGCATGAAAAAGATGGTGGCAGAGGAAGAAGATGAGATCAGTTATGAGCAAGAGAATGAGCTGACAAGTTTCACAATCCCTTCACCATCCATTTCACAATCAAAGAAGACCCCAGACAAGTTTCAAGGCAATGAATCCTCATTGTAACCCAGATCTGGGTTCGTTTCTCCTCAAGCTTGCCTCTGACACGATCGCAATGGCTCCTTTCCTTGAAACCTCTTATCCACCTCTGCCAATGGCTCCATCTCCATCTTTCATAGTAAAGTGGTCTCATCGGAAGCAGCAGTAGCTTCCAACATTTTCCTAGCCTCAAGAAGCTTCTCAGCAATCTCAGCATGGTGTAGCCCTGCACCGTGAGTTTGCCCTCCATGACGACAAACTTGAGCTCGATTTGACACTTACGATCATGCTCGAGGATGTCCTTGTTAGGTTTCTTGGTGAGGTTGACAAATCCAATTCATCCATTGTACATTTGTTAAGGATTTGAGAAATCCTAGATCTGGAAACTGGGTTTTTGAGATTGGGGATGAAGTTCCTTGTTTTAGGATTTTTTTTTTTTTGGTGGTTGGGACACGAGGATAAGCAGGAAAAGTCCTGCTAACAGTGGTCTTACTGCACACGTGGCTTTCACCTGTACAAAAAAAATTATGCCACATTATAAAAAAAAATTCACATTTAGATAAATAACGTCAAATAATATTTACATCAATTTATGAGTGTGATTGTATTATATCTTTTAATGGTTATTAACATTTATGTGATAATCTATTAAAATATTAAGTTTTTCATAAGTTTGAAAAAGTGAAAGGTGTTGATTAAAAAAAAAATATTAAAAAATATTGACTACGATATAAAAAAATAAATGGAGGATGCAAATAGCGGTTTTGTTAATTAGTAAATGAATAAAAAACCAAGATTCATTTGTGCTTATTTAACCTGGATTGTGTATGTACATTAAGGGTTGGTGCCCCTGGTACCCATAATAAATCACTTTTTTTCTGTTTAAAAAATATATACATAAGATTGTAGAAAATCATTATCTCTTGATAATTAAATATTTTTAATGAATTGACATAAAAAATAATTTATTAAATATATTTAAAAGAATTTTATAAAAAGTCTTAACATTTTAAATATCAAAATAT